CCTCCAGCCCTTGAGTGTCCGTGAACAGAAAGAGAACGTGGAGGGCAGGAAGCAGGAGGTGCCCAGGGAGATCCCCAAGCTCCAGCCGGCAGGGTCCCTTCCCGAGGCCCACAGGGAGGGGGCCCCCGGACAAAGGTGAGCCGGGCAGTGGAACCCCAGGGGACCAGGTTCCCCGCTACTTGTTCTGTCCTGCCTTCTGCGGCACAGACAGGAACACTGTATCGACTAGACAAGATCTCCACAGTGGCCGAGAGGCACTAGGGGGGCCGGGTGGGAGAGTCCCTGCACGCTGCCCCTGGCAGGCACGGACGGCAGCGCCCATGGGAGGGCAGTCAGCGTTACATCCAGGGGGACGGGGCCCCTCCGGCGCAGAAGCAGGTGTGTGTGGCTGTTTCACAAGACTCAGTCTCCTCCCCCCAGAACAGGGGCCAGGGCTCCAGGAGGGTGGGTTCCTGGGCGCTCACTGGTGGGGACAGGAGTTGGGGTTCAGGATTCCCAGTGGTCATCATTAACATGATCTGTGCACAGGCAAGATGAGCAGCAGAGGGAAGCCCAGAAATGTCCTGAGAGACCCCAAGAAAGGAAGCAGAGCGCTGGGAGGGAGCCCTCGGAGTCGGGATTCTGCCTGAGGGTGAGTCAGCCCTGGGGGCGCTCCCTGGCTCTCCCCTCTCTCAGCCTTCCATTCAGACACAGCTCCATTCCCGAGTCAGAGATGACCCCCAGGTGCCGCTAATGTGTTTGCTGTACACCTCCTGCTGGGTGAGGGGAAATCCCCCAGGGTCGTACCAGTGGCCGGGGCTTGTCCGGCTGACAGGCCATGCTGGCTGGCGTGGGGGTTATCCATCCTCACCCCTCTGGCTGGGTCTCTGTCCCAGTCGGCCAGAGTCGGATGTTCCTTTTCCTGTGAAATTTAACTTCCTGTGTTGTGTGTGTGTGACGGGGTTTCCCGCCGGTGGAGAGTAAACCCCAATATGTAGTTGTTACTTCACTCGCCGGCCACCTGGCGCACACAGAACAGGCCTGGTGCCCTTGACAGTGTGACCATGCTGATGCCAGAGGGGTCAAAGACGAGTTTCTTTCCCCCACAGAGACCCACCAGGCCCCTGCCAGTCCCAGCCTCCAGGAAGAGACCCGTCCTGTGCCCGGTTCTCATGGCCCAGCCCCCCGCCAGGACGCCGAGCGTGGGACCACACTGCCCTCCACAGCAGCCGCTCGAGAAAGTTCCTGGACCAAGGCCGTGTGGGTCAGCCAGCAGGTGGGAGGCCGTGGCGCAGTGGGGCCCCCGAGCGGGAAAGGGCTTCAGCCAAGACCCACGCGCCCGCTCCGAGTGGACAGCTGACTGGCCTGTACTCCCCCAGGAGCTTCCTGGCCCTGCCCGGAAGGCCCTTGCCCCGGGGGGTGTCTGCAGCTACCAGGCCCAGCCCAAATATCCTGCGGACCACTCAAAAGCCAGCCAGCTTGCTGCCCCCCGGAAATGTGGCCAGAAGTCTGGGTTCAGCGTCCAGGCAGAAGGCAGGAGGCCTGCCCAGGCGCTCCTCCCCGCTAGCCAGAACCCGCCAAAGAAAGCAAGACTGAGCCACTTCTGATGCCCAGCGACCTCGGGGCTCTACAGCTTCTCCCCACCCTCATGTGGGTCTAAAGCGACACCCGTGAGGCCAGCTAGAGTGTTTCCACCCCTGCGGCGAGTATGGACTCCAGCTTCTCACCTCCCCTAACCGCCCCTCCAGATATAAAAGACCAGCCGAGGCGCCTGGAGCAGTGTAGCAGTACCCAAAGTCCTCTGCGTGGAGGTCGCTGCTGCCTCGCTTGCCCGTCATGTGCACAGGGATTAAGCAGGACACAGCTCTGTGTTCAGGGCCAGGCAGAAGGTGCTGGTGGGACCCAGGTGTCACAGGGCAGGGAGAGGGGCACCCCAGGCCCCCAGACCTGCCTGCTCAAAGTAGGTTCTGCCACTGGCCACATCAAGACAAAACATCCAGACCTTGCATGGAAAGGAACTTTCACACAGTCAGCTTTAATACAATGCAACTTTAATGCTGGCCTGCTCAGCTCCACCCTCCCTTGGGTGCGGCAGGGAACCTGACCCCCTTACCTGGGGACCCCTGTTACACAGGTACTCGCTAAGTCGCTCAAACCAATGTGAAGCACCCCTTATGGTGTGGGATGCAAATGAACTAAGTGTGGGAGCACAGTTAAGAGTGCAGGTCACCTTCTACCCGGCGTCTTGCGGGTAAATAGGACCCAGATGAGAGGAGAATCGTGTGGACACCCCAGAGCACAAGCTGTCGGTTTCCTGGGACTCCCTGCTGGAGAGAGGGAGGGTGAGGGGCGCCGGTGAGGAGGAGCCCGGAGGGAACAAAGACATTCCCGCACCCCTCCCCCACCAAGGACAGTGACAGCCTCACCGCTGTCCCGTTCCAGACAGTTGCTTTGCAAGTGCTAGTTTGCTCTTCCTCTTTCCTGTCGCAAGGACATGAATAGGGAGGGGGCCCTTGGCCTCTATCTTGGGGGGGGGGTCACCATCCGGCCCCCGCGGGGCTCCGTCACAATTGCGCTTGTTACTGCCAAACACATCTTAGTCTAGTCAGTCGGATGCAAACATAGCTAATTACCGCGTGGATAAGCTGGAAACAAGAAACCGCTTTCCGTGTGGTTTTGACCAAGCGCGCGAGTGCGAGGCCGCGCGCGCAGACTGGGTCAGCCTGTGCAGCCGGGACGTGAGGACCGCCGCGCCGCCCCCCTCGGGTGGGGCGCCAGCTCCGGCACCCCTGGAATTTCCTCCGCGCGGAGAGCAACAGGGAGCCTTTTGTCCTCGCGGGAGGTGATTTTGGGCCGGACGCAGGCTGGTTGCCAGGGCAACCGCGGGCCTGGGGACCCGCCTTGGAATGCGCAGCGTCCCCAGCCCGCCGGGCGTTCTTCGGGCTCAGTCAGTCTTGACTCGAACCAGGCCTCTCTACAAGCCCCAAAGGAGGATCTTGGGAACCCTCCAGCTGCCCGGAAGGCCCCCATTAGGCGACTCTTCTGCCTGCCCTCCACTGCATCTGTCAGCGCGTCCTTTTGCGCTACACCCGCGACTAGGCAGTGACAGTGACGTGCTTCTGCTCTAGCAAGTTGCTCAGACCCCCGGGCTGGGGTCGGGGGTCTGGCTTCTGGCCAGTTGGAGCGAGGGGCGCAGCCCGGGCCTGCAGTGGGGTGGCAGTCCTCAACTCCTCCGCAGGTGGACAATGTCAGAACCGAGCTCGATTACGGGACAGCCAGCGGGCGGCCACACGTCGGCTATGTGGGCGTAGTGAACCCCCACCCCGCTTTGGAAATTAGCGCCCAAACCCCTTTAGTGTACCCCAGCTGCGGGGCGGCTGGAAGGCACGCACTTCCGGGGGGGAGCCCCATACCTGCTGCGGTGGGCAGCCAGCCGCTCTCCGCCCTCGGTGGCACCCCGCGTCCGTGTGCGCCCCCTGGCGGCTGGGCTTGAAAGGGCACGGCTTGCGGCTGGGGTTCTCTGCTCCACGACCTCGTCTAACGTCTAACGGAAGGAAGGAGTTGCCCGCGTCGTGGTCCCACAGATTTGGAGACCGGCTCGGTCCCATCACAAGCTTTACACTTTAAGCAATTTGTTATTATACTCAGTGTGGTTTAATTTCATAATGTGCTCTTCCAGATATAAAACAGACACCATCTGACTGCTTATTCGCATTCCTGTTGTGTGTTCTGCACACACAGACACAGGTAAATGCAAATTTTGTGGGCTATATGATTTAATACGCAAAAAACTGTTTTTAACAATGTGTACTATAAAATAGGTGTTTTCTTACTTTGTGGCATAAGATTCGCTATATATCCAGTAGTTTCAACTTATCTTGTTTTTTCAACTTTGAGTCCTTAATCCATTACATCCGCTTTAAGTATGAATACAGAGGAGCTATATGAAAATATTTGTTAAAATGGAAGAAATCTCTAGTTCACGCTTTCTGAAATGACAGAAGCCACATTATGCCCCCAAAACAAAATGAATTCATGACTCCTGCCTGCTTTTCTCCCCCCCGCCTGTTGCCCCCCAGCTCCCATAAGAGGGAACCTGGGAGTCTGTTTCTCGCTAACATGCCCACCAGGTATCTTCACAGAATCAGAAAAACAAACATGTGCTGGTCCCCTAATTTATGTCACTTTATACCCAAGAGCACGCATTTCTAAAAGCTCATTTGAGGCTTCTTAACAATCAGCAAAAACATATTTTGTTCTCTCCCTTTATATTTCTGACTCTCCCTTCAAAAAAATACATCTCAAACCATTACCATCTCCCCAAAGATACAGAAGTCACCTTAACCCTGACCCTGAGTCTGAGCCTACTTACTCTCCAATGGAAATTCGCGCTATTCATTATCCTCTGGGGGAATCCTGCTTTTTTCTGTTTCTTAAACAAACGTCATATGCGATACTTCCATTTTGGGGAATAATTGTTAGGATACCTTCGATAAAGTCAGGGGATAATGTCAGATTGAAAGTGACCCTCTCAAGGATTTCTGCATCACCTCCACGCTGTTTCCAGAATCAGGACTTTAAAACAGTGCGGACCCTGCACTCTTATGCTGTGAACACCAGCTCAGCTACTTTAGCATCAGAGCGGCTGATAACACCATCGCGATCTTACTATTTTATTAAAGATTTTGAGAGGAGCCACCAGAGCCAGAGTGGGGAGCAGAACAGGCAGATTGAAACACACTGCTGAGGGGAGCAGCAGGGAGAAAGGAGAAGTCGCTGCGCCACCTGTGTCAGCTCCCGGGCTGGGGATCGAACTCCTGCTGCAGTGGCTGCAGACAACTTTATAGTGCTGCGCTTTAACCGGTTGCGCCACCAGGGAGGGCTAATCTTATTATTCCAGTGCAGAAGAATGATGTCTTGTTACACCCTCTTGAAGTGTGGGGGGATGAATGAGCAAAGCTGAACCATTGCAAATATGCGTACTTTACGAACTTAGGAGAAGTTTGGGGGGTTCATATTCATCATGTTGATATTTTTGGAAAGCAGAACACCGGAACCCTGGAGTCATGGCCCATGAGGATGTAGGGGCTGACGGTAGGGAAGCAGGCTGCCATCAGTGCAGAGGCGACCACCAGCCACGTGCTGGGATTATTTAAAACAGTCAGACAGATCTGAAAGGCAGAAGAGACAGCGCACAGCGATGTGAACGTGCTCACCAGGATCAGGATGCTCCGGGTGGCCCTGGTCTCAGGGGGGCGCCTGGGGGCGGCCCTGGAGCTGTGCAGGTGCCGGACACGCTGCCTGTGCCGGTACAGGGTGCAGACCAGGGAGCCGCTGGCCCAGGCCATGAGCCCCACACACAGGATGTCATGGGCCGATGCCAGAATTAAATACAGCGACTCTATGATTTTGTCATGAATGGCCGCATAACAGTAGCCATAATCTCTTCTCTTTGTGACGTTTGTGACACCCCATCTATCAGTCACGTACACAGGGACTATGAGATTGAGTGTCATATTTAGGACCCAGCAGAGGATGCTGGTGGTGCCCAGGTACCTGGGAGCTTTGTCCTTCAGCCTCGCCCACCTGGAGCCCCGGGGGCTGACGGTGATGGCCTGGAAGACGCTCAGGAGGCAGGTGGTGCCCATGGACACTCCCCGGCCCACCCTGTGAGCACAGAAAACAAGTTTGCAGCCAAAAGCACTGAGGAAATCTGTTAACCCCAAAGCAGCCATGGTTTGGGGGATCCCTTTAGAGAGAAGGACTAAGAGGTTGGCACTTGTCATGTGCTTGAGGATCAGATCTGTGGCTCTCAACCTGGTTTCCGTCAAGGAAAAGGAGAGATAGTGGTACAGCAGGTAGAAATTGCCCAGAATTCCGGCAAACATCTGTATGGAGAAGATGGCTCCCACCGCCAGGTCTCCAGGGGCCATTCCTGCAAGGGCCGTGACCAGAGTTTCAGTCAAAACGCACCTGTTTCTTTGTGTCAGGAAGGCTTCAAGTATTAGCGATAAGGGAAAACAGTGGACTGTGTCAACAGAGAAGCAGAGCCTCTAGCAAGGAGCCACAATTATTATTGGGACTGAAATAGGTGGGAATGCCCCGAGGGGCCGCTGAAGCCAGGCTCGGAAACACAAGCTGCGCGTGTGCCTGACAGCAGCGCTCACACCCTCTGTGACGTTGCTGTTTCCTTCAAGGCTGCTGCCCTGACTTAGACATGAAAAAGAGCCTCATCAGAACCCAACAAGCCATGGGTGTTCTCAGTAGGAAACGGGGGGTGCCCCCATTCAGCACTGCCTACGCCCAGAATTGGCGCAAACATTTTCCTTGCACTCAGGGCTCAGGCATTAGCCTTCCGTGTGTCTTTGGCGCTGGTCGAATTTCCTTCTGGCTACTTACCCAGACTCCTGACAGACTTCTTGCAGACTCCTCGGCTCACACAGTAAACTTTCACTTGACTCCTTTTGGCTGCTGGGGAGCGAAGGGGGGTCAGCACAATGGAAATGTCAGCTGCTGTGTGGGAGGAGGCAGGGAGGCCCCTAGATATGGGTTTGGGATTCTGTAACCACCTCTCCCCAGAACGGCAATTAGCCTTTCACTGATAATAGCCACAAGAAGACAGGCTTGGGAAGCTGAGGATGTTTGTGGAAAAGTTTTGCAGATGTTAATTAGCCCCCAAACAATTAGAAGTTTCCAGTTATCTCTAAGGAGCCCACAACAGTACTTGGGAGAGGCGCGCGCCCCCTCCTTGGCGGCAAGGGCAGGATGGGGTCCGGGAGCCCCAAGGTCGGGCATGAGCAGACAGGCACTCCTGTGTCTCCTGGGTTCTCTGCTCTCTGGCAATGTTTTGGTGATGGTTGTTACCCAGAGTGAGTTCTTTTCCAGTTTGCAGCCCACAGAGAGTGCATGACCCTGACACCCCCAGCACAGCAGTGGAACAGAGCAGCAGCAAAGGGAGACCATAGTGGCGTTTACATGTGAAACGTAACTGGGGGCAGCTGATTCAGAAACCCAGGGCCGGGGAAGCTGTGACAGTCTGCAAAAGGCTGGGTAATCCCGCAGCTTCCTTCTGTCTTCACCACAGACGGTGGCCCTACAAGTCATCCTTCAAATGCAGCCACGACTGATCTTACTACGACAGTCCTTAAGCCTTTAAAAAGCAAATTCTTGATCACTTGAATTAAATGCCAAAAATCACTGCCCTTCAGGATCACACTAAATTGTATTAGGAGCCATTGTGGAATTGTGTAAGATTCCATCTCTCTCACTCAGCTCAAACCTCCAAATTACGCTTCCTGTGACTTTGGCACTGAATCAAGGTCAAATGCCTGAGCCCCTTTTCCTTATCCACGTTCTTGAGCTTTCTCTGTGCAGTCTCTGCCTCTATTTGTGTTTTTCTTTTTTTAAGATTGATTTATTTAGCATACAAGAACTGGGATATAGGCCAGAGGTGTGAGAGGTGAGAGGATTCACCACGGAATGGCAAACAGAACAGGCAGACTGACTGACATCCACTGCTGAGGGGAGCAGTGGGGAGACAGGAGAGGTCTGCAGCGCTATGTGGGTCACCTCCGGGGCGGGGGGTCAAACTTGTACTACAGTGGCTGAGGATAGCTTCATAGTGCTATGCTTTAACCCGTTGCACCACCGGGAAGGGCCTGTTTGTATTTTTCATTGTGCTTTTCCCCATGAGTTTTTTAGCTATCAGGGATCCAGGAGAAAGACAGTTAAAACATTATCATACCCGGGGGCCTCCATCTTCATGGATGGGAAACCTTCATGAGATGAATATACAAATCCTTAGTGACAGTGATCTGTCAACTCACTGTGGTGCTAAGAAAGGCCCACAGGTTTTTCGTCATACATGCCTCATACCCAAGAATGTGTGTGCTGTGCCCATACTAGAGTTAATTGAGCAGTGCTACACCTAGGTGAAGTCTAGTTTGTGTACGTTGCCTTCCTTGTCTGAAGGTGAAGTAGTTTCTCACAGGTATTAAAACTATAATTATAGTGAAATCTCCCTGTACTTAAGCAGGAAAAAAAATGAGTACACAATTTCAGGTGAAAGAAATCTTTTCCAAATATCAGACGGAAAGCTGTACCATATTCATTAGTTCCACTGAAAAGAAACCAGTAATCTGTCATTTCAAAGTCTCCCACGAGTTTTCCTGACAGTCGGGTGAGCCTTAGGGCCTAAGTGTCTTTGAGGAAACCGCTGCTTAAACAAAAGCAACGTGTCGTTGGTGTGAACACTGGTCAGCAGGTCAGTGAGGGGTACGCGCCACACTCACGGCGAGCGGACGACGCCTTCGATGTGTTCTTGACCCTCACAGCGCAGTACCTACCGCGGGACTTTCCGACTTCAGGGGTCAAGGGGCTGCATCCCCAGGACTCTGTCCCAGGGAGGGGTGACTCAGCTTCGCTGCCTCTCGAGGGGCCCCCAGGGCTGGTCCGTAGAGCGGGTCCCTGACTACAGATGGCTCACGGTGTGCTGGAGGATGTGCCTGGCCGCATGAGCCAGAGACGATCAGAGCAGGCGAAGTTGGTGCTGAAGATGAAATGGGACACACGTCGGCTTAAGAATAGAGCGGCCGTGCCCTGCGGGACGCCATCTCAAAGAAAGAAATGCGGGGGGGTTCCGAACTCGAACTCGGGGCGGTCAGTGCCTGGGAGCCCGGCGAAGGGCGCAGGCCCCGCCCACGCCAGGCTCCGCCCACGACGGACCCAGCCTTGCCCCGCCCCGCCGCCGTAGGCTTCAGTCCCGCTGCCGCTCCGCCACGCCCACTTCCGGAAGGCCCAGTCCGAGGCGCCGCCCCCAGCCCGTCAATCAGCGCGCTCTGCGGTTTCTGGCCGACCCGGGAGCTGACGACGCCGAGCGCGGTTCACGCCCGTGGGGCGAGTTTCTCTGCTGCTTCGCCCCGAGCAGCTCGGCCCCCGGGCGCCCGCACAGCCGGCGGTCCGCCTCTCCCGCGCGCGGTAAGCCCGGGCGGGCCCCTCCGCCTCCGGGCTCGGGCGGCCGGCTTTCGGCGTGGTCGGGCCTGCACCCCGAGACCTCGGGCGCGGGTGCTGCTATCGCCCCACCGGACCTCTGGCTGGCTCCCTCTCCCCGGAGTTCCGCCGACCCCGACAACCCACTGCTTGGCTGCCCGAGAACCCCGCTCCTGGACGGCACGCTTTTCAGGGCGGCGGGATTGAGGACTGAACTGGGGAGTCGCTGAGCCCCTCAGGGCCCCACACGGCGTGAGGGGCCTGTGGAAGCTGCAGGACGAGGGGCTGGAGAGAGAGAGGCAGAAAGGGAAACTGAGGCAGAAAGAGTGACAGGGAGAGAGGGCCAGGAGTCCGGCAAGGACGTGGGTAGAGGCGGGGGGACACTGCCGCGGGACAGCAGCCAGAGAGAAAAGGAAATGGAGAAACTGAGGCAAGGGAGGAATCCCAGCGACGAAGGAGCAGCACACAGGGAGAGCGGCCCTTGCGCTGCTGCAGCTGGGGCGCTGGGCAGAGCACTTCTGTGGAGCAGGACGGAGGGAGGTTTTTTCTGCAGGACTGAAAGCGGGGGACAGCGCTGCACGAGCTTAGCCAGCTGGGGGCGCCACTGAGCCGCGGGTGTCACCGGAGAGGCCGAGTGTGACCAGCTGAGCAGACCGGACACTTGGGGACACTTGGGGCGGGGGAGGAAATCCCAGGAGATGGGGAGAGTGGGGAGGAAGCGCAGCAGAGTGAGTTGGAGCAGAACCGGTGGCGAACTAGGAGCGGGGACCTAGACCCACAAGAGGGGTGAGCGGGCGCGACTGGGAGCAGAGTCGCCCTGTCCCCTGACTAGAAGCAGCTTGTGAGCAGCAGCCGGGCAGCTCTGCGGGGAGAGAGTGCACAGCGCCTGTGCAGAGGCTGGCCTTCCGGACCTCCTGGCGTGGCGCCCAGGCCTCGCATCCTGGCCTGCAGCCGCTCTGGCCAGAGGAGGGAGACACATCTCAGGGTTATGGGCACGTGCTTCTCCTCGGGGAGTGGGGGGCCGACCTGAGGGAGGTGAAATGAGCGGCAGTTGCTGACAACTCAGCACGTGCTGCCTTTTAAAGTGGATTTTCACTGTTTCCTTTTAAATGGCTTTATTTTCCCCTAACTTTTACATCTCATTTTTCTTTTACTCATTTTATGTACCCCAGTGCACTCATAACAAAAGCTCAGGAAAGTGCATTGAATTTATGTTCCTGTAAATGGTCCCTAACTTGCGAAATAGCTCTAGCGGCATCCGGTGACCAGGCCTCAGCCAGTGGGCGCTGACTGCCCCTCAGCTGCTCCTCGGACTCGGGCCTGCTCCGCATGCGCCACAGGTGGGGCCGTGACTCGCCCCCACTGTGTGTTCTCCGACGCCTCAAGACTCATTCTGCTGACAGGAACCCGAGCAGGGGACGGAGGCAGGCACAAGGAGTGAGGAATGCTTCTTTCCCAGGTACACTTACTTGTCTTCTCAATTGGTGCTTCTGGCCTCTCCACGAGCCGCCTTTGCCTGGAAAGTCACAGGCTGACACATCCCACAGCCACCCCCACCCCCCTGCCACACGTGGGAATGCGCAATGGCTCAGTCACACATAACATCTGCGCGTGCCTCCCACAGGCCTTCTACCCAGCGCCACCCTTTCAGCCTTGTGTTTGTCACAGGTTTTCTCGGTGAGGAAACCGTGTCTCTGACTCAGCTGTGGGTGATGCGGGCTCTGTGAGGAAGCCCTGTGGTCGCCTGAGTCAGGTGCTGGCCCTGCACCGACAGGCCCTGTGACCTGAAGTGAGTTTCCTCCAGTGTCTGGAGGCAGCCAGTCCTCTGTCAAGTGGGAATGGGGCCTTCTGTCCTGTAGGCCAAGTCCACACTTGGAAAGCGTCTGTGATGCCCACTCTGGTGACCTGCTCCGGCTTTTAGCTATTCCTGTCATCTTCCCTTCAGTTCAGCTCTCATCTTGCCCAGAGGTGCCCGTGACTTTGTCCCCCCCATAAATGCTGCGCATGCCCCCCCAAAACATCGGTGCCCCCCCAGTATGCAGAACATCAAGTCCAGAGGTGCGTCTGGATGAGCACTTGCCCAGTGGTGTTCACTTGTCTCTTGCTTTATCCTTCACCGGATCGTAACACCCGCAGGGTTTGGTGGGTCCCCTCCTCGGGGCCGTGTCAGTGAGAGGTCAGGGGTGTAGCATTTGCTGCAGTCACCTGCTGCAGATCGAGAGCTCGCCTTTCTGTTTCCCCCTCACACCGGCCTCCTCGTCTCAGTCGGTGAAGACAAGCCGGCCTGGAGGCTGCTTGGAGAGACGTGTTTTCATTTTAGGAGCTCTTGACGTTCGAGGACGTGGCTGTCGAGTTCTCCGAGGACGAATGGGCGTGCCTGGGGCCTGCGCAGCGGGCCCTGTACCGGGAGGTGATGCTGGAGGCCTGCAGGAGCCTGTTCTTCCTGGGTGAGGCGAGCTTCCCTCCAGCCCCCGCCCCCAGTAGCTGCGTTTTCGCTTGTGAGTCTGTCAGGGCTGCCTTGCGTGGCTAAATTGGAGCCTTAAGGACTCAGAGATGAAAGCTTCGTACTTTGGTATGTGGATTTCAAGTCTCCTCTTTCTTCAGGTGAGTGCAGCTTTAGAACTTGAGTAGAAGGAAACTAGCAAGACTAAAATACCCAACTGCCTGGACGGCCTCCCGTGCTGTTGATTCAGTAGTTCTTTCGAGAGGTTTGGCGATCTTTATACTTAAAATATTTCAGCATTTGGCAGAAGACAGTCAGCAAGCGTTTGGGAGATGCTACTTTAGGCTGTGTAATGTCTGCTTTCAGCTCAACAGAGGGCTGGGCTGGGCTGGGCTTATGGGAAAGCCCGTCACCCGCCTTTCACACGGAAGTGGGATTCTCCTTCCGGGCTGAGCAGGCAGAGCCCTCGCCTGAGAACGAAAACACAACACCAGGGGAGTGCATGTGTCAGGAGGCCGAGGGCAAGTCAGCGCCCAGGCCGACAGGCTGACTGGGGATCACGCCCCCATGACAGTCGGTGGGGTGGTTGGTGTGGTCTGGCAAAGTTGCTGAGCTCCTCAGGGTGAGGCGCTGAGATCCGGGAGCAGCCTGGTGGGTTGTGCTCTACAGGGAGGCCCGCTAACGAGGTGGGAATGTATTTTATGGAGGTTGGGGCTGTGAGTCTTCTGATGCCAAATGTCATCACTGTTCGGGGAAAGCTGGCCAGAGGCCTCCTCACCCCTTCTGCAGACATGCTGAGGCCACAGCCCTGGTCAGCCCTCACGGGGCTTCCTGTCACTGATGTGCCAGAGAGGCTAGTCACCGTCAACCAGCAGATTCCTTCCACAGAGTGAGCCTCTTCTGACGTTCTCGGCAGCTGGCTTTGCACTCTTGGGAGGCAGTATGTTCACCGATGGCAGAGAGGAAGTGAGCTCACTAGCAGGCCGCTTCTGTGCCACACCCACCCCTGGCCCACCCTTGCTGACTCAGGGTAACTGGCACGCGCACAGGGCGCCCCTCAGCGGAGTCTGCTGCGTCCAGGATGATGTCGACCAGCGACAGACGGTCCCGTGGGAGGAGCTGGCTGTGTTGTGTGTTTTATGTAATGCAGAAAGACATACCCCTGGAATCTTAATGTGCCGGAATTGTGAGCGCCTTTTAAAATACTTGGTGGGATGAAATCACGTAGGGCAGCATTCACGGAGCACAAATTCAACTGTGAGGTGAGGAATTCATGCGGGGCCGCCCCTGGCTGCCCCCCCCACGTTCCTTCTCTCCAGCGGCCCTCACCCGAGGCAGGGTCCCTACATCTTCTCTGTCCCCAGGGCCGAGACACCGCCCGCCACCTTCTGTGTCCCTCCTGCCTATGCCACAGCCTCTCCGGCACTGGGCCGACGCCAGGGCCCGCTGCAGATAACCCACAGTAACTGGCCGTGTTCTCCATTTCTCCCAGAAAGGGCCTTGGAATTTTGACAGTTTTCACATCGAATCTGTTGATCACTTGGTGAAAATCACCCTCTGAGAAACAAATCTTCTCATAGTCTTAATGTTTTCATGCTTTTTTAGAACAAAAATTCAGTGATTAGCTTTCACTTTTCTTCAACTGTGAGACACCCATATGTCTCCAGCGAGTCGGGGTTCCTGTGGGAAAGTTCCCCTATTTTCAGGGCTGTGGGAACCGCCGCTCTCCTGGCATTTGAAAGGAGCCTTCCTGGAGATAACAGGGAGGACTTGTGGTCTCTCCCCGTTGCCCAGGGGCCTGATTTCCTCTGTGTGTCTGAGCTCTGCAGACCTTGCTTGAGGAGCGTGGTTACGGGTTAGGCTTTTTCTGTAACGTTGCATTTTTCAATATAACAGAGCCAGCAATGGTCTCTAGCTGAGACAGCTGTGACGTTTCTCTCTTACAGATATCACTGCTAGATGTGTGATCAGAGGGCTGTCACTAAAGGAGTCACTCCAGACGTTGATAGTGGAAACACACGGGAGTCGTGATTTCCATGGTTGTGATTTAAGGGCGGTGCAGCCAGATAAGCAGGCATCTGAGAGTTGGCGGGCATGTGAAGAAAACGATGATGCCGCTGCCCGGCCCAGAGGCCTCGGTGGTGGGGGAGAACGGCAGCGTTGCGGGTCCTGGGGCCGTTTCCTCATGGAGCTGCACACCCGTGTCGCAAGTCTAGTGCCATGTTACAAGCATGACGAGTGTGACGTAAGGAACAAGGAACGGGGAGATAACGTGGGCTCTTCAGGAAGTGAGTACGTGAACAGTTTGGACTGCGGCCTGGGGCTAAGCTTGAGTTCACTCCTGGCTGAGCTGCAGGCCTCACAGGCTAAAGAGGGAGCTGGTGGATGTAACCACAGTGAGAAGAAGCCTGGCAAGAGTGGCTGCTCGGGTTCACCCTGTCAGGGGGTTCCTCCTGGGGGCCCGCCTACCCTGGGCTGTAAGCACGGGGAAGTCTTCGTTCCTCCCTTGTGGCTCGCAGGACACCACAGAACACTCACCAGAGAAAAACCTTACAGGTGTGATGATTGTGGGAAGGCTTTCAGCTAGTGCTCGATCTTAGCTCATCACCAGAGGATTCACTCCGAGCAGAGGCCACACACGGGTGGCGAGTGTGGTAAAGCCTTTAACTGGCTCTCAAACCTCACGAGGCATCAGAGGATCCACACGGGGGAGAAACCGTACAAGTGTAACGTGTGCGGCCAGGACTTCACGATACGGTCACACCTGTGGGGCCACGCGCGGACCCACACCGGGGAGAAACCTTACCAGTGTCAGGCGTGTGGCAAGGCCTTCTTCGAGCGTTCCAGCCTCGCTCAGCATAAGAGAATCCACACTGGAGAGAAGCCTTACAAGTGTAAAGAATGTGGGAAGGACTTCACCACACGGTCACACCTGTGGGGTCACGAGCAGATCCACACTGGGGAGAAGCCTTACAAATGTCACGTGTGTGGGAAGGCCTTCTCCGGAAGTTCAAACCTTACTCAGCATAAGAAAACTCACACAGGAGAGAAGCCATATACATGCAACGTGTGTGGCAAGGCCTTCAAGCAGTACTCTGGCCTCAGCCGCCACCAGACTGTGCATGGAGGGAAGAGACACTCGTGAACTGTGTTTCAAAACTGTCCGTGTGCACGGCCTTGCGGACGTGAGAAGGTTCACACAGCAAAGAGACCTCATAAAAGTCTTGAATGTAGCAGACTTCAAGCAATGGCCTGGCCTTGGGGTCCAGCACAGACTCCCTGAAGGGGAGACCTGTACATGCACAGTGTGGTCTGTGCTGTACCCTGAATTGTGTGTCAGCGAACTTCGTGTGCTTCTTGAAGATAAATCTAGTCAAACATTATACTCTGCAGGGGAATTAATAGCCACAACAGTTGAACATTCATTAGCTGATGGTGCCTGAGGAGCTGGGGTATCTGTAAAGGCTCATTTCATTAGTTTGTAAATTATTCTAATTGTTTTAGACTTCTTGATGAGACTGTTTATACATTTTCAGCCCAAGACTCAGGGTCTTATAACGCTGTTAGGTTTTCACAGGCCTTCACGCATCCTGTAATGGTACCGGTGAAGGAACTTGATGGGTGTGTGTGGGGGCATGGTCCTAACGTCCATGGTGCTGTTTTTAATTTTCAGTTGCATTTGTTCATGTAGAAAGGCTGTTTTTGTACATTAATCTTGTATCCTGCAACTTTGCTGTTATTTCATGTTAGTATTTTATCTCAAACTTCAGGCCATCATGTGCGATTGTTCATAAACCTGAGACGTGCCACTAAATTTAAAACCGCCTGCCGTTCCTGTGAAGTCAGGTGACAGGTTATGGAAGCAGCTAGAGTTCCGTCACAGTGACGGAGCGCTCGGCTCGCACTCTGAGATACTGCACTTGTGAGCCTTTGTTAGCCCCGGCCTATCACTGGCCGAGATGTGAACGGCTGGACTCACCTCTGTGACAAAGTTCTTTTACCTTAGAGTGAAAGTAGAATTTCAACTGGCAGATAATGTTAAACTCTTTAACAAGAAATAATGTAGATGCCACATATTTTATCACCTGTTTACATTTCAGATCTTAGCGTTTAGGAAAAGCCTGGGAACCACTATACAGTATTACGTACAGCAATTTCTGTGCTGGGTACGTTGGGGGGAAATGAAATGAGTATTGCTGTTGCTTGCACAGAACTACCTTGGGTCTGTGCCCCCCACACAAGCTGAGGGAATCACTGTCACCCGACCCCACCCAGCATGGGGGGTGGAACAAAACTGAGTATTTTCCTGTTTCAGCGAGACACAGTTTATACAAGACTGAGGCATACCAGCCTGGGTAAAAGCTCCTGACTGGGGGCAGGATCCTTCGGGACAGAAACGGGTTTAGCGGTGGCTGCCCACGGGCCGGGCTTGCGGAGACTGGAGGCCCGACACCGTCCACGGCAAGCCCATGACACTGCCCACGACTCTCTCCGCTGATGGACTCCAGTGGAATCTTCCCCCAAAGCACCGAGCCCTGGTCATTTCTCAACAACGTTCCCGTTCCTGCCACAGCCTGATAGCTGAAGGAGGCCATGGCGTGGGGGACCCGGCAGGGGAGATGGGGACACTGGCTAGCTGGCAGGGCTTGCCCTGGGGGCCACTGGGGACCTTTGCTCACCAGCCCGCCCCATCATAGTAGGGGTCATCTAGTAATTCCAGTACTCGCTGGGGCGCAGGGCCCTGAGCTGGCAGGTCGCTCCCCTCCCACCTACTTTCCACGCTCCCTAGTCGCCCCCAGGCCCGCCCCCTTGCGCGTGCGCACAGGCCCCGCCCACAAGGCCCGCCCACAAGGCCCGCCCACAAGGCCCGCCCACAAGGCCCGCCCACAAGGCCCGCCCACAAGGCCCGCCCACAAGGCCCGCCCACAAAGGCCCCGCCCACAAAGGCCCCGCCCACAAAGGCCCCGCCCACAAAGGCCCCGCGCTGGCTCATGGGGCTTCGCGCCCAAATCTCGGCTGAGGAGAATCCTGGGCGCGACCGGATCGCCGTGGCTGCCCGCGACCCCCGATGGCGCAGAGCGGCACCCACGAGGGACAGTGTCGGCGCCCCAGCAGACCCTCGCGCCCTCACGGTGCCCCTGTGCGTCCTGCCGAACTCCCTCATGTCCCCCCCCCACTAGCCCCTCTCGGGCCCTTGTCCCGGGCGCCCAGCAGGCCCAACACTGGCAGCCGGTGGGGCCCAGCTGGAAAGGGGCGAGGCGTGGCCGCCCCCCCCCCGTTTCCTTGGAACATTCCACCTGGCCCTCTGGTCGGGTCGCCCCGTTAACGCCCCGTGGGGACCCGCGCCCCGGCGTCCCCGTGTGGCGGGCAGCGGCCCTGAGGGGATGAGGGCCTGAGGGAATGAGGGCGCACCAGGGCCGCTGCCGGGCCGCGCCGGCCCCCTGAGGTGGTGACGCTGTGACCCCCGATGGCCGCGGGAAGTTGCACGCGGGCTTCTGCGCCCAGGGAAGGGCCTCGGCCTGCGCCAGCCTCTGCCCGACGCTTACTCAACGCAACCAAAATTGGGGTGTGGACGCCCACACCCTTCAGTTCTGAGTTCTGTTTCTGCTCCTGTTCGCCAACCCCGCCTCGCCCCAGGGAGCAGGCCTGCCTGCGGACCCCGAGTGCACCCGCAGCAGTTTGTGGACCCGGGAAACACCCTGTGTCTCCACGGGGGCGCTGGGGTTACACGGTCGGAGCTTCCAGATCCTTCCATGCCGAGGGCCGCGCTGAGGGCCGCGCTGATGCTCGGGAAACTGCGCCCTGGGAGGCGCGTTGCGGTCCCCCCACACCCCCTAGAAATGCCAAGGGGGTCAGAGGGGCGAAAGCTCGGCCTCTGCGCTCTGCCGCGCCGCCTGCTCGCCTTTGCTTTACTCTACAGCCGCCCCCTAGCCCCGCCTGCGGCGATACATTCGCTTGTCCAGTTGTCCCTCTTCATCCCCGCGTCCAGTCCTTCCCGCGTTTCCCCCCCACCCCTCCTAACTGCTACCCCCTCGCGTTCCCCCTCCCCTGCCCCTTCCTTCCCGCGTCCCGTCTCCCCCCTTCCTAACCATGGCCCCCCCTCTCGTCCCCCTCCTTCCCGTGTCTCCTCCCTTCCCCACCACTCCCAAGCTTCCCGTGACCCACCACCTCCCTCCCCTGCCCTTCCCGCATCTCCCCCACTCTCATGTCCTTCCTGCATCCCACATTCCCCCCCTGCCCCCATCACCTGCATCACCGTCCTTCCCCACGTCCAGTTCACTCAGAATCACGACGGGCAGGGGCGGGACACGCAGGGCCGGAGACCTGGAGGGCCGCGCTGACCCCCAGAGACCGCGTGGGAAGGGTCGAAGGCACCTGGGCTGGGCAAGGTGGGTAGGCGGCCCTGCAGCAGTGGGCTGGCTGCTCTCTGCCCCCCGGGGCCAGGCGTTGCTGTCCCCACCCCCAAACCCCCCACCCGCGAGCCCGTGTGGGCCGTGGCTTCGCCCACATGCAGAGCCCGGCCTGCGCAGCTGAGGCCCAGGGGCCCTGCCCCAGAGCTTCCCCTCAGCCGGGGGGCCCATCCACAGGGGTCGCTGGCGGCTGGGGCGCCCCTCCTCCCTGAGGCGCCCCTCCTTGGTCGTCTGATCGCCCTTAAACGCCAGACAGACCGTAGCCTCCGCCAAAAATTCAGAGCACAAGATACGCTCCCAGCTCGGCGCTTCTGTCCTCGTGAAGCCGCCTAAGGACCTAAAGTGACCCCCAGGAGTCCGGCCGGGGAGGTAACTGTCCCCTTCTCTAACTTCTCTCCTCTCTGCTTGCCAGGGTGAGGCCCCAGCCAGAGTCCGGCCCCCTGCGCTGCTCAGCGGACCGACTCCCCTGGGAGCGGAGGACAGAGCCGGTGTGTGGGGAGGAGCAGCTGCCCCCAGGTAGGAGGGGCGAGGGAGCGGGCCTGGGGGGCCAGGTGGGGGGCAGCCAGCCCCAACAGGTGGACTGGGGGCTCTGCTTGAGGCAGCGTGGGGGCGGGGCGGGCCTTTCTCCCCAGGGGTGCCTGGGTCCCCCTCTGGCGTGTTCCTCAGCCCTGGGGGGCCCCTCCCCACTCCAGGGTGTTCGTCAGCACAGGGAGAGCCCGCAGCTGCCCAGGCCTGGGAGGGTTGTTCGAGCGCGGTTGTGCGTGTTGTGCGTGTCCGACGCGGGCTGCCCGGGGTCCTGCCCAGGTCACTGCCCGCACAGAAGTGACTCGCGGACTGTGGGCTCCGTGTTGTGTGCCAGAGCTCCAGGAGGTCAGACAGGCAGCTCTGGGCACGGGGAGGGGTGGCAGTGTTGGGGAGCCAGGCCTCTGTCTGCCTTGGGGGGATGAGGCTGGGGAGCGTGCAGACACGGTCTTGGAGTCAGAGGTCAGGGAGACAGAACTGTGTCTGGATGTGAATTCTGGGGCTGATGTTAAACGTGAGCTCCGGAACAAGCCATGCGGCCTCCGAGGTCCCTCATGGAGGTGGGACCTACGCCCCGTGCATCTGAGGGAGCAGCGTGGCTGGTGGGGACCTGTCGGGTCACCTGCACTGGGGCAGTGCTGTGGCTGGTGAGGAAACTGCGTTCTCTGTGTTCATGTAACCATCTGAGCAAAAGGCTGGTCTGTACTCGGCCGGGGTCCCCATGTGTGACCTCAGGTGTGGGGCTGGCCAACGTGTGGTCAGGTTGGAGCACCCCCTCCTTCCCCACCTCCCGGCACTGCCCCAGGGCACGCGGCTGCAGGTGCCTTTCGCAGGGGCAGGGCTGGATGTGCTCTGTGCGCACCTGAAGCCCTAGCTTCAGGACATTTCTGCTGCTTGCAGGACATTTCTGTAAATGACGTGGAGCTCCGTGTGGACGTACAGGGTAAACTGAGGCACGTTCCAGTTTCTAGGTTCATGGGGCCGTCTGCTTACACGGGGCAGTGCTGAGCCCCACCTAGGGGGCTCTCCTGCAGGCTGGAGAGGCATTCATACCGAAGACAAGGGGAGGTGGCTGTGGGTGCAGTTGAGCATGCGCGTTTGGCGAGACTCGGAGGCCCTTGAAGTGGGCGGCTTTAAAGACTCCTTTTGTAGGTTCCATCTTGCAACACCCCGGCTTGGGCTGCAGCTGCCGAGGCTGGGGGTCGGGGCCTGGCCAACGCATGAGGGCTGCATCTGGGGTTGTGATTTAGAGGCTCACCTCAAAGGGTGTGCTACACCCCTGGTCTAGGCCTCTGCAGGCCCCAGGCCCCAGACCCGTCCTAGCTCACTGTGGGGAGTCAGCGGCGGCTGTTTCAACCAAGGAGCCCTCTGTGAAGCATGCTGGGGCTTAGCCCTGGGGTAGGGGCTCCTTGCTGGAGTTGGCGGGGCGGGGGGCGCCTTGAGGTCACTTTTCATAGCTTAACAGTTGGTGGTGGATTTGATCTGATGTTTATTTAATGTTGAACCAAGTACAGAGCATTCCAGGTTTGCCAGAGCTTGACCCTCTGTTCATGGTGAACAGCACGAAGTGTTTCCGAGTTACCGTGTCTGATGCAGCCTGAGGCCCACAAGGACACTGTGTGGAGATCGGTGGCCTGCTGGGGCCACGGGGGTTTCCCTTTCCTTCACTGACTGTTTCGCGTTGAGCCTTAACAGTTCATACTTAGTCAACCTCCGAGCTCCTGTGCGGGGTGGCAGAGCGGCCATGACCACGCTCCCCCCACTGAGCGCTCAGAAAGCCTGGCAGTCCTTGTCGGAATCGGGTGGGCTTGGCCTTCTGCTTAG